TGGGCAGCCTGCCTGCCCAGGAAGGGAGCACAGCCTCCCCCCAGCTTCTGCAGCAGGGTCTTCGGTGTTCCAAGGGACCCCTCCCCTGCCCCCCACTGCTGCAGGCCCTTTGCCTCCCGGGTCCTGGGAAGACCAGCTAGCCCTGTTGCACTGCTGAGGCACTCTTCCCAGAGAGCTGAGTGGGTGCTAGCCTGGGCAGCCTGCCTGCCTGTCCGGGAAGGGAGCACAGCCCTTCCCCCCTCAGCTTCTGTGGCAGGGTCTTCAGAGTTCCAAGGGAGCCCTCCCCTCCCCCCACTGCTGCGGGCCCTTTGTCTCCTGGGTCCTGGGAAGACCAGCGAGCCCTGTTGCATTGCTGAGGAGTTCTTCCCAGAGAGGGCTGAGGAGCTCTATCCAGAGAGTGCTGTGAAGTCCTACCCAGAGAGTGCTGAGGAGTTCTATCCAGAAAGTGCTGAGGAGTTTCATCCAGAGTGGAGGAGATGGGCAGGCGCCAATGCAAGAATTCCTCCAACAACCTGAAAGGCAACATGACATCGCCAGAATCCAGGGAGCTCGAAACTAGAAGAATTGAACACCCTACTCCAGAAGAAATAGAAGAAATCGACTCTAAGCGCTTCTTTATGAAAATAATAGAGGAACTTAAACAGGAGGTGAAAATCTGCCGTAAAGAAATAGAAGATAAATATAACAAAAAAATTGAGGAAATGAGTAAAGAAATGGAAGAGAAATATACCAAAAAGTTTGAAGAAATGAGTAAATCCGTAAATGAAATTCTGGGAAACCAAGAAAAAACAATCAAACAGGTAATAGAAACAGTTCAAGATTTGAAAACTGAAATGGAGTCAATGAAGAAATCACAAACCGAGGGCCGGCTGGCTATGGAAAATCTGGGTAAACAAACAGAGACTTCAGAAACAAGCTTAACCAATAGATTACAAGAGATAGAAGAAAGAATCTCAGACTCTGAGGACACCATAGAGAAATTAAACACTCTGACCAAAGAAAACAGCAAATCCAACAAATTCTCATCACAAAACATTCAGGAACTGTGGGACACAATAAAAAAACCAAATCTAAGAATAATAGGAGTAGAAGAAGGAGAAGAATTGCATTTCAAAGGTCCAGAAAATATACTCAACAAAATTATAGAAGAAAACTTTCCCATCCTAAAGAACAATATTCCTATGAAGGTTCAAGAAGCATACAGAACACCGAATAGACTGGATCAGAAAAAAACATCCCCTCGCCATATAATAATCAAAACACAAAACAGTCAGATTAAAGAAAGGATATTAAGATCTGCAAAGGAAAAAGGTCAAGTAACTTATAAAGGTAAACCTATCAGGCTTACACCGGATTTCTCTATGGAAACCATGAAAGCCAGAAGATCCTGGATAGGGGTACTGCAGAAACTAAGAGACCAAGGATGCAAACCCAGACTACTATACCGAGCCAAGCTATTGTTCACTATCAACGGAGAAAACAAAATATTCCAGGATAAAAACAAATTTAAACAATACGTAGCTACTAATCCAGCCTTACAGAGAATATTAGAAGGAAAATCACTACCGAAGGAATCCAACATTCCCAACACGGCCTACAATAACTCGAACATCTAGCGACCATTCACAAGCACAAATCAAAGAAGAAAAACACATACACTCTACTACCTAAAAAAAAAAAATGACCGGAGTCAACAACCACTGGTCATTAATATCACTTAATATCAATGGACTCAATTCACCTATAAAGAGGCACAGACTTAGAGATTGGATACGAAAACAGGATCCAACATTCTGCTGTTTACAAGAAACACACCTCAACCACAAAGACAGACACCTACTCAGAGTAAAGGGTTGGGAAAAGGTTTTCCAAGCAAATGGACCTAAGAAACAAGCGGGCGTGGCCATTCTAATATCTAACAAAATCGACTTCAAACTAAAATCAATCAGAAGAAATGGAGATGGACATTTCATACGCATAACTGGAACAATTCAACAGGAGGAAGTCTCAATCCTGAATATCTATGCTCCTAATATAAAGGCAGTCATCAAACCACACACACTAATAGTAGGAGACTTCAACACTCCTCTCTCACCAATGGACAGGTCAATCAGACAGAAACCAAACAGAGAATTGAGAGATTTATTGGAGGTATTGAATCAAATGGACTTAACAGACATCTATAGAACACTCCACCCAAATAGGAAAGAATATACCTTTTTCTCTGCAGCTCATGGAACCTTCTCGAAAATTGACCACATACTCGGTAACAAAGCAAACTTCCACAGATACAAAAAAATATTAGTAACTACCTGTGTCTTGTCAGATCACCATGGACTAAAATTAGAATTCAACAACAATGCTTCCCCCAGGAAGCCAACAAACTCATGGAAACTGAACAGTCAACTACTAAATCACCCCTGGGTCAAGGAAGAAATAAAAAAAGAAATTAAACTCTTCCTTGAATTTAATGAAAACAAAGACACAACATACTCAAACATATGGGGCACTATGAAAGCAGTGCTAAGAGGAAAGTTCATAGCACTAAGTGCCCAATTAAAGAAAGCGGAGAAATCACACATTGGAGACTTAACCGCACACTTGAAAGATCTAGAAAAAAAAGAAGCTGATTCACCCAGGAGGTCTAGAAGACTGGAAATAATCAAACTGAGGGCTGAAATCAACAAAATAGAAACAGAGAAAACAATCCAAAGAATCAATGAATCAAAAAGCTGGTTCTTGGAGAAAATCAACAAGATTGACAAACCCCTATCCAAATTAATCAAACGGCAGAGAGAGAACATGCAAATTAATAAGATCAGAAATGAAAAGGGGGACATAACCACAGACACAGAGGAAATTCAGAGAATCATTAGATCTTACTATGAAAGTTTATATGCCACAAAGTTGGAAAATGTAAAAGAAATGGACATTTTTTTAGATAAGTACCATATACCAAAGTTTAACCAAGAACAGGTGAACAATCTAAATAGACCTGTTAGTCGCGAAGAATTAGAAGCTGTTATCAAAAATCTCCCTACCAAAAAAAGCCCAGGATCAGATAGTTTCAATGCAGAATTCTACCAGAACTTCCAGGAAGAGCTAATACCTATACTCCTTAACGTATTCCGCAATATAGAAACAGAAGAGTCATTGCCTAACTCCTTTTATGAAGCTACAGTTACCCTAATACCAAAACCACACAAAGACACGACCAAGAAAGAGAATTACAGGCCAATCTCACTCATGAACATCGACGCGAAAATTCTCAATAAAATACTGGCAAACCGAATCCAAGAGCACATTAGAAAAATTATCCATTATGATCAAGTCGGCTTCATCCCAGAGATGCAGGGCTGGTTCAACATACGCAAATCTATCAATGTAATCCATCATATAAATAAACTGAAAGAAAAAAACCATATGATCATCTCACTAGATGCTGGAAAAGCATTTGACAAAATTCAACACCCATTTATGATAAAGGTGTTGGAGAGACTGGGGATACAAGGATCATACCTAAATATAATAAAAGCAATATACAGCAAGTCGACAGCTAACATCAAACTGAATGGAGAGAAACTCAAAGCCTTTCCACTAAAATCAGGAACGCGACAAGGCTGTCTACTCTCTCCATACCTCTTCAATATAGTGCTTGAAGTTCTAGCAATAGCAATAAGACAACATAAGGGAATTCATTCCCAAAACACCATAGCAGTGTAACTTCTGCTTGGGAAACTGAGTTACCTTTCCATTTCCCCACATCACAAGGTCTTAGACTAATAACATTGAATCTTTGTTCTAATGGTCAAATTTACATAGAGTCAATCTTACAATAACAAAGAGTAGGAGGGTAGCATGCCTCACCATTACTAAAAGAAACAAATCTGAGTATCATCTGAGTGTCCCCGAAGCTGATTGTCACAAAAGAGATTGGATAAGGAGAATAGGTGAGTCCAGGATACAGGGTTGTTTACTAACTTTATCTAATGGTTTGGGATGTCAGGCAAATCCCAATGGGAAATGCCTGACATCCCAAACCATTAGATAAATTTCCCATTGAATGTTGGCTCTTTCCTGGGTAGTGTTACCTGTTCTAGAGTGCTGCCTGGTCAGGTTCTACCTGCCTTTTTTGTGATTTTGATATGCATATTGTCATTGTCTTTGCCTATGGAATTTTCAGCTTTGACTGTAAAAGCTAAGAGCCTCATGAACAATGCCTTCACTTTAATTTTTCCCTTGCCCAAAAAAATAAAGAACATGCAGAGGGAATATGCTTGAGTTAGTTTTTATCCACAGGTCCTCCCTTGCCATACACATCCTATTCTGAGCCCTGAGGGGATACTGAGGTTGGTACTCAAGGCTCCTGATACCTGCCTGTCTGCTACTGTGTTCCCCATCATGATGGTCATAGATACATCTTCTAAAACTTTACCTAATCCCCCAATTAAATGTTTCATATATAAGTTGTCTTGATCATGGTGTATCTTTTCAACAATATGATCATGGTGTATCTTTTCAACAATATAACAGTAACTGAGGCCAGAAGTTAGGCTGAACTCTCTGTAACAGGGACCAAGGGGAGAAAGAATCTAAATTACTTGTGGAGTGTAACTGAAGAAGATTTTTAAAAACTAATGTCTATGTTTCTTATTTGGGTCATAAATTTGTGAATCAACAAAAGATGATTGTGAAGAAATTAAATCACTAAATTTTGTTAGACCACTTGGTAGAAATAAATCCCATGTCAGGATTTTCCTGGAAATGTTCTCTGTGAGAATTATTCCACTTAGAGAGATATCAGTATTTCAGTTAATCTTGTTACTATTCAGTTCAGAATAAAAGTCCTGGTTGTCTCTAGCAATGATTTTCATCCTAATCTGTCAGAATATCTGCACATTCTTCGATTTCTATGGATATGATCTGAAATTTGATGTTGTATTTCAGGAATCTGAGTAAACCCCACTTAGGAAAGACACAGCTCTCCCTCACAGGGCCACTCCCCTCAGCCTTCTTGCACCCTTGGTTTGTGTGCAGCTTCCCCTTCAGTCTCCCTCACTGTGTCACTCAGAGCACAGTAGTACAGGGCAGAGTCTGACAGCTGCACTGAGGACTTCTGCAGGTGGAAGGAGCTGTTGCTCTTATGGACAGTGGCGTGGAACACTTGGTTCTCGGTCCTCTTGTTGTCTGTGGAGCTCCTCAGGAGAAGCTGAGGGGCTCTGTTGGCATATTGCACATACCACCAACGGTAAGTATCTGAGTAAATAGTTTGATAAGTGCAGTTCAGCAATACAGGGAACCCCTCTGTGATGGTAACCAGGCCTTTTGTCTGGGTCACTGAGTCTCCATTGCTCCTGCCTGAAAATAAATAGTAAATACATAAATATAGAGAAATCACTTTGCTATGTGAGAAAGGGAGAAAGACTTCCACAGCTGTAAGAAAATGACATCATCAACACTTAAGGTAATTTAACTTACTGAGCACTAACAGGAGCAGTAGAGCTGAGCAGGTGTCAGGAAGCATGTTCAGAGAAGAAAATGGCACGGTTCTTGAGTGCATCAAACTCACAATGCAAGTCTCCCCGGGGCCTTATTGAAGCTCCTGTCTTATAAACAAGGACTTCCTTCTTTACAGTGACAGTCTGTCACATGAAGCTACCATATGCATGTACATTTTAATCACTTCTGAAGAGACAGTGCCCTCTGCTGATTTTTCTTCAACTTGCACCAAAGATGTCTGCACAACACATTGTGAATAAACTTGAAACCCCAGACAAAGGAGTCAGGTCTCATGCTCCCAGTGGATACCTGAAATTACCAATGTTACTAAACTTAAACTGTGTGTATCTGTGATATTTACCATGATGAACATAAATTAAATAACACACACACAAATACAGAAAACCTCTGACAAAACTTACCTACTTTTCTTCATTTTATTAGTACTTAAAGAATATTCTGCAATTAATTTTGATTATACTCACCTGTTCCCTTCAATACTGCCAGATCCATTCACTCTTCCTTATCAACCCAGTTTTGTGTTCCCTGCCATCAAATAAAATAAAATTCATCCAGGTGTAAATTACAGTTTGTACAATGCATATTCTTAGATGGAGGATAGTATATGTTCCTGGAGCTACATCAATAAATAAACCTGAATCCTTCTCCAATTAGCTGCCAACTGCACATAGTTCCTTAGTTATGGATGGTGATGTCCACCTTCCCTCTTCGTGCTGGAACTCTGTCTGATCAGATCCTTTGCCAGTCTTATGTGTGCTGTAGACTTCTGTGAGTTCATATGTGCAGCTGCCCTGCTGTGTCCAGAAAACTCTCTCTCCTTGTAGTCACACGCCACCTATGGCTTTTAACATTCTCTCTGCTTCCTCTGTCTCAGTGACCTCTGACCTTTGGAGAAGGGTCTATGATGATGTCCCACTTGGGACTGAATGTTTTGCAGTCTCTTCATCTCTACAACACAGTGAGTTCTGCTTCTCTGTGAGAATCACCACATGCTTCAAACAGGGAAAGAGGAAGATAAAATTTTATTTCAATGTTTAGAATTATTTTTTAAAATGAAGGAAGGAGAAAATTGTCCAAAATGATTTCCAGTGACTTGAGACAAATCTTTTTTTGTTTTGTGTTTTTAATGGCTATGCTATAGTTGGTTCTTGCAAATTAACAACTGACAAATGCTACACTGGAAGGCCTGAGTCACAGGAAGTGGATGGGATTTCAGACTTCCTGGAAAGTTTGAGGAGAGACTGAAAGTTTGAGGAGAGACTGTAGGTACCTGGGAATCAGGGTGCACTTGCAGCACAGAAGTACATGACAGAATCTCCAGGCAGATGCATGTGATATTCAGGGAGAAATGTTTGGCTTTCTTATCCAGGAAAACTATTAAGTTTTGATCCATGGAAAGTAATTGTGTCTATGTTGAGGTTACTTATAACTTAATTTTCTCTCCTTCCCTTTCCTTCCCTTTCCTTTCCTTTCACCATGAATCTTCATGATTCCCTATCTTTCTATTGTGCCTAAAACTACTTCATTCTGGCGAATGAGAAGAGTCATTCATAAAACAAAATGAAAATATAATGCTTGCTATTTACAATAAAACTCTATTTTATTTTGATATTAAAATATTATTATATAATAATAAAATGTCTGAATTTCATTTGATTCTTATTTTATTGTCCCCTTACAGAGACTGATTGTTCACATGGTGATAATTAAACCAAAATCTTTATTTTTCTTTCACTCAATTTTTATCATTTATTTTTTGATATCAATTCATTCTTCTAAATTTTCTATAATTCCCTCCTTGTTCTAATGTATCTTTATGGCCAATTCTTTCTTTAATTATTGCTACACATGTACATATAAACATATTTATTCCTAAATATGTAAATGCCACCTCTCAGTTGTACTTTGTTGATTGTAAGTATTTCAAGACTGATCAGTCTATATTGGATAACCAGTTGATATAATCTTCTCTGGGAAAAGCTATGCCTCTATCTGACAGTAGCTCATGAGCTAGGATTGATGCTTTGTGCTCTTTCCACATGAACCTTAACATGTCATTGTTGATCTTTTTCAGCTCACGTTTAGAGGGCCATGTCTTCATGTGTGCAGCTTCTCACATTCTTAGGAGATACAATTTACAGCAAAATCCTGACCCTCTAGTTATTATCATCTTCCCCCCTCTTCTTCAGGATTTTCTGAACTGTATTACAAGAATTATATTGTAGACATAGCCATAGGAACTAGACCTTGATTGCTGTGTTTTCTACAGTGGCCTCCATCTGCTAGAAAACACATGGATCTTTGAGGGGAACCACAACCACTAATTACTAAACCAGCACAATCTCTAACTACATCCTAATCATTTTTCATTACCACATACACATTTCTTTGCACAGGGTGTGCTCATATGATTCATTTTAGGATTAGTCACTCATTCTCATTTTTTTGAGTTGTAAGCATATTTCTGATATTCTATTTAAAGCAATTTGAACATGATATATATTGAGCATTTTCTCATAGTTGCTGTTCTCTTATTTTTTTAATGACATTCAGATCTTCATCTAGAAAACTTCAAAGCAGTGATGAGCATACTTAAATATGTGAAAGGGTAATTCTAACTAATGATTTAGAAGATTAAACCCTTCGATATTCCCAAAATTCTTCTGTAAGTTCAAAAAATTAACATTAAAACTCCACCAACTTTTTAAAATTTATGTATTGAATGGATAGTGTATAACTGCAGGTGTCACCATTCTGTGGAAAAGTGTTCCTGGGTCATATAAGAAAATTTCTTAATTATGAGTCTTTGAGTGAGTTAGCAACAGAATTCGTAATGATTTGTGTTTGAATGTCCTTTTTGAGTTCCTGCCTTGATTACTACCAAAGATGGACCATGACATGGAAGTGGCTAAGTAAATCTCTGGACCTTCTAAGTTGCTTTGTCTCAGAGAGTGTTATCACAGCAACATAAAAGAAACTAGATTATATAGTTATTGTAAATTCTGTATCTTTCATGGCTTGATGTTCTTGCTATTTCTGTAGTGTGTGTTCTCTTCACTACCCCTAACTCTGTCTACCTGGAAGCCTGTCTTTGCCTTTCATTCCCTTTTCCCATTATCTATTATGAGTTCATCACACTGAGGCTAAAAGATCACATTGATTTTGCCCTCCCATTAGCTTCTCTGATAGTTCTAAGATGAACATTCATGCTTCAGGGAGGAGTATATATTGAGAACTGAAGATGAAACCAAAGTCCCAAACCTTTGAGACCAAAACCCTACCTGAGGTTATAACTCTACCAATACCAAAAAGGGATAATTAAGAAGGCAGTTGTTCTTCTTGGGTCACAGCCACCCAGCTAAAGGTTTATGTGCTGGCTGCAGGTGTGTGTGGAGCACTGTGGATCCACAGCACAGAAATAAGTGCCTGAGTCTGTGCTCCGAGAGGAGGAAATGTACAAAGAGCTGCAGCGTTTCTGAGTGACTGTCGTGGACTTCAGTCTTCCACTTTGCTTTGTTCCAGAAGGATTGAAGAACAGGCTGATGAGGTGTCCCTGAGGACTTTGATAAAACCACTGTACTTGGCTTGCAGAGGTGGAAAACAGCTCTGCATTCTCTCCTTCCTGCAGAACCAAGGACACTGGACTCTGCTTCACTTGTTGCCCTTTCACCCCTGATTAGAAACAGAGAAAAAGACACAAATGATAGTCATTGAGCATACACAGAAACCTGAACACTCTATTCTCTGACTCATATTCTCTGATCTGCAGAACTCCTGAACTGCTTCCCTATCCTCCTAGTGCTGAACAGCATCCTCTCTGTCCCCTGAATGTGAACAGCCAGACTCACAGCAAACCTGGGTGCACAGCAGCCCTAGCAGAGAGCACAGCAGCCTCTTCATGGTGTTTGTCTGACAGCTAAAGACAGAAGCAAGTAACCAACTCCTGGACTGTGGTGTCAAGGTGGTTCTTGAAGTTCCCCTCCTACATCCAGTCAGCTCCACCTAGGAACCCTGCCAGACCAGACACTGATGAGTTCCCTCCCAGCTTATGAAGCCTGAAGCTCCTCCCAAACCAGACCTGGCTGAGAGAGAGTCTGGGTAAAGCACAGGGTGATGTGAGATTCCCCTCTGTATGCTATGAATATATTTTATGGCCATTGGTTATTAAAGAAACTGTTTTGATCAATGGCTTAGTAGAGTAGAGCCAGGCAGAATATCTGAACAGTGATATAGAGAAAATAGGTGGAGTCAGAGAGATGCCATGCAGCTGCTAAAGGAGAAAGACAACAGATCTCAGCCAGAAACTTAACAGTAGGCCATAGCACAGTGACAATAAACAGATTGGTATAAATGGGTTAATATTAGTCAAAATTATGCCTAAGATACTGGCCAAACAGTGTTTTAATTCATACAATCTATGTGTCATTATTCTGGTCTGGGCAGCCTGGAAATGAACAAGCAGTCCCGCTCTACAATAGAGTGGGTAGCATTTTGAAAAAACTGGTTGTATGCGGTTGGGGGTCCTGGAAGTAAGAGAGGACTAGCCCCTCCCATGGAGAACAAGCCTCAGCTGTAAGAAGACCTGGCACACTCAGAGAAGCAAGCTAATGGTTTATCCAGGAAACAGATGTATGTTCTTACTAAAACCATTTACTGGGGCCTCAGAGATGGCTTGGCAGATAAGGGTCCTTGTTCTTCCAGAAGCCCTTAGTTCCCTAAACAGTATCTACTTCTGGTGGCTCACAGCTGCCTCGAACTCGAACTCCTGGGGACCTAGTTCCCTCTTCTGTTCTCCCCAGAACCTGTCTAAGTGTACTAGACATTTACACAGACCCACTATCATACACATTGAAAACAACCTTCATCTGTGAAATAACTGAAGTGACCGCAATAGGAAAAAGGAAAACAAACAGCAACAAAAATAAAACAGGAGCATAATGACAGTGTAATGTAATGGTTTCATAGTTCTAGAATGCATCTTAAAATTGGAACATTCCTGCAGTGTCACAGTTTGTTCTAAATGTAGTTTAAAAATATAACCACATAGGAAGGAAGTGGATTGGGGAAGCTAATGCAGGACTGCTGCATCCTCAGTGACAGGACCAGCAGCTGCTGTGCTGTTGCACATGGTGAATTCAGGAAACAATGCACTTGAGTTCATAAAAATAGAGGAATGCATTTCAAAATTTTCACCATAAATATAATTGCTTGAGAAATGAGACTAGTTATGAAAAATAAGCAATTGCCTCATCAATAACTCACAGCAATAACCTTGCTTTATTTGTACCACCAGCTTCCAATAATGACCCAACATTTCTTAAGTATGAAAGCTTGGCCTTATCTTAAGCTTATTCCCACTAACTCTTAAAAATTTAATTAACCCATTTATATTAATCTAAATTCTGCCATATCCCTCATTACCTCATCCATAGTGTATATCCAAATTTCTCTGTGTCTCACTGGCTAATCCCCTGCTCCAGATTCTTCCCAGAGTTCCTTTCTTTGCCTGGAAGTCTTGTGTATATCCTCCTAAGCTATTGTTCATACTGATTTTTTAAACCATTCAGAAGGTGCCTTAGACAGACAAGGAAGGACAAAAACACCTCTTCACACAGTGCAATCTAATATCCCACAAAACACAACCAACCTTTTTGAATCTCAGTCCACCATTGTCTCTAACAGTGACTTCCAATACTGTAGGATAATTTGGTAGAATTTTGACTAGGGTAACACAATGCTGTGAAGGATAAAATTTGAAGAAAAGAGCACAGATCTTTTATTCCAAAACGAAAAATAAATGACAACTCAAATCTATACCAGACACATGAAGCATTTCTCAAGATTCCACTTTTTCTGTACTGTTGTATTTACTGGATATGCCAATTCCTTGAAAGTGCCTGAGTCTATGGCCCTGGTCTCTTATTTTGCAATTCTAAGGTGGTTTGTGTCCAGCTCTGCACTTGTGACCCAGGGCAGAGAAATGCCAGCTCCCTGAGACCCACTGTCAGGGATCTCCAAGTAAACAGAGTTATCATTCTTCCTGCACTCAGACTGAAAACCCTCCCATGCCTGAGACAAGCTGGTTTTCTGGTGTAAATTTAGAAGGTTCTGGAGACCCAGGTGAGGGTGTTGCACATGAAGGAAGTGACTGTGAGGGACAACACATGAGTAGCAGCCCCTCAGATACAGAGCAGAAGCTGCAGATGCACAGATGCAGCCATCAGACTGGGACACCAACCGAGCATCCTCCTGCAGCATCAGTGCTGTGTGGGAAGCTCAGGCAAAGGGAGAGGCCATGTTCATAGGGAAACAGCAGTATTCTTTCTACTGATTAGGGCCTAAAGCAGAGTGACAGTGGGCAGTAGGGCTACTCTGAGCCTCAGGATACAGAGCAAGGTCACCACGGTGAGCAGGAAGCAGCTCCTACATTCCTGGAGAATCCCAGGAAGCAAATACAAGCTGAAGAGTAAAAGAGGTTGGCAGAGCTTGCTCTGAGCTTAAGAAAGTGTGGATACCTTCATCCTGGGGACACTGGAGAGACAGTGAAAAGAGACACTGACTGTCTTTTCCTTGGTCTGTCTCTGGCATCTGCATAAAGTATGTTCTGCTGCATCACTGGAATTGGTTTATAAAATAACAGTTTATTGATTTCATACATGACCATAATGTATTCAGATAGAACCCACCATCACTCTACTCCCCTACATCTCCTTCCCGAACCCTCTATGCACCCTTCTCCCTGCAGAAGCCAAGAAACTAGAACCAGACCATTACGGCAAGTGAGGCTCAAGAGGAAGACATGCAGTAGTAGAACAAAGGAAACATAAGATCAAAGAGTCATGAAAGGCCATAAGCGGAGAAAGGCATGGCAGGGTATTGGGGGAGGAAGGTTTTTATGGGTTTATTCTAATCTATAAATACACCACTTACTTTTTAGAAAGGAGTGTCCTCTAGAGGACAATTGAGAAATAACAAGTTCACAGAGGCAGTGAACTCACCCATCCTTGCTGACATCTTACTGTGAATTCTAAGACTTTTCATCATGCACAGAGGAAGTTTAATTCTTTCTATGGAAAAGCTTATGAGTTTCTTAAAATCATAGTTATGACATGAAATGGGAAAATAAGATATTTTAGAGTGAGGAAATTTCAGCATCCTTACAGATTTCAGAACGATCACCAGGCACATAGGAATCAGAACACGGCAGTTTCCAGAGTTCTGCACAATGCCATCAAACTGACCAAGAAAAAGTTGTAATTGATGTTGATAGGAATATTTCAGATATGTTAGCATATGAATAGTAAATTGGAGAGTAAAATTTGAGTAAACATTTTAACTGTATATTAAAAAATAACCAACAAGTTTAGAGACAGTCTTTACTTTGTTGAACTCAGAATTAAATTTCACATGTATCTCACTGATGATAGACTTAGTTTCCTGAGCAGTTCCTTTGCCATTCTTATAAAATACAACTTGATTCGGAAGTATCATGGGTCATGTCTTGCCCACAGGAGGAGACTGTGCCATGCATGGACACCATGGGGCAAGAGCGTTATGAACATCACATTTCAATTCCACTACCACAATTATATCTTACAAGATATTTTGAGTGTTTAATAGTCTCCCTCTTCTTTCCCTCCCTTCCTCCCTTTCTCCTTTGTGAGTCTTTGTGTTAATAAGTAGCATTCAATGATAAAATTTTGGTGTCCAAGTAAGAACACAAAGGACAGATTTTTTTTTAGACAGATCAGAGTGTACAGGTGGTAACAGTGAGCAGTAAGAGTGGAAAGAACATTGGAAACAGAGAGGAGAGATCCCAATTCCAACACCAGAAAGTGACTGGAGATAACCCAAACCAACATGACTTTCAGTAGGGAACCAAGAAACAAATAGACACAATGTAAAACACCATTAAATAGAAGCTGTGAAATCTTGGTAACTATATATATGTGTACAATGAGAAGACAGTGGGTCACGTGAAAAAGTTCAACTCAGTCATTCAACCTAACTGGAACCAAAATATGATTATGGTCTCTTTACCATCACCTGACTAATGAAAATTAAAATTGAGGGATATTTGGCAAAGAACAGTCTTCAAAGTGTTTTCCTTTAAAACGAAAAAACACAATTTAAACTGAAGACTATGTGACCATATCACTAGGATCTCCTGAGATCTTGAGTCTGTTTGGGTAAGGTACTCTGGAGCATGCGTTCTTTACCCCACAATAAATATTATTCCAATCTGGATATTTGACTTACATTTTCTGAAAGGAATATCTTAATATCATAATATATCACATTCATACTCTCATATTATGATTTTACATGCATAAAATTAGCTGTGGAGAAATTAGGTGAATTTAATAAATAGAAGTCTCAGTTCCAGACATGGTTGTTCAGAGGCCCCAGAGGTATGAAAATAATACAGGCAATTGTCTTGGTTCTTGGTTGCCCATCATAACTTAATGGTGAGATCCTACATATAAAAACACTACATTCTACTGCTGCATGACATAGAGAAATCAATCTTGAATTGACTGGGGAAAGGTTTTCCCTACTAGTTAGATTTCGTAGTGCTAGAAGGTACTATGCAGGCTGCTGGAAAAGGAAGGATAGCAATAGTATTAACCAGTGCTGGACCCTGCATGCTACAGTACTGAACTTTCAGGTACTATGTGTTCACTGGTGCAATACTGTCCTCACTGCTACAGAATAACAATGCTTTCTGATTTGATATGAAGTCTGGTAAACAGGAGGGAATTCATATCTAGTATCACAACAAGACCCCAAATCCCATGATTCAGGAGGTCATAGGCCCTAAAAGTAAACGACTGCTGTTATTTAGCTAAATGGTCACATCAAACTGCCTTCTAAGTGTTTATATTCACAGGTTATTGCTAAGCTCCACCTTGGTTGGAGTATGTGTTTCAGGAAATTTCTTTAACAGATTGCTTACACCATTTTATTCAAAATGTCTTTAATATAATGACATTTCATTTGTATTTTAATAAATAAAAACTTGCCTAAGAGTAAAAGAGCTACACTGGTCAGTCTTACATTGCAGTT